CCCACCATACTTAGAACTACAAAGAGAAAACTGACCTTAAGAGCAAAGTGTGCAGAGCAAGCTATAGAGAACCATGAAGGAACTGCAAGTAACATAGAGACAGCCCACCTGACCATCTGACCTGAGCATAAAAAATTGAACAAAAAGAAGAACTCTTATCCAGATAAGACTAATTTCTTATAAGAAAAACCATTTCTTGGGCCCCTAGTGAGTTCTCCTTATCAGGTCTACACTGTATGATGTAAAAAGAAAAAGTCATGATTATGTGGGTCAACATTACGCTGGTGCCTATACTTCCCTGGATATATTTTGACAAACATTTTAGTTTGTGTGGGCCTGGCAGCCAAGGTCAGTTTTGAAAAGAATTTCTACGATGCGGATTCGAACGCATGACTTCTGGTCAGCAGATGGATGTCTAGCCTCTGTACTGTCATGCCTCCTAACTCTTTGAGTCCCAGGGGGTTTAGCATCAGAGGCCAAGAGGGTAGTAAAGAAAGTAATAAAATTGGCGCATCATGTGACTGTTCTTTGGGCTTCTAGGTAGGAACCTGTGGACGTATGATGCGTTCCTTGGGGCTCAAAGAGTTGAAAATAAACTAATCGAATTTCTCTAACATGCTGAAACCAAATGTGAAAATTGATTGCTGCTTAGGACACAAACAAAGAGTTAATGCTTGTGTGTGCGTGTGTGTATGCCTGCGTGCATGCATTGTTCATCGCACTTGTAACATTAAATGTCCCGATGCCATATCTTCTTTTCCCCAAAGTTGTTTTGTTTATTTTTTTGCTATAGTAAGTTAAATGGGGACCAGCACAGACCCAGTAGATCACAGTAAGTACAGAAGAACATCTAAGCACTGCTCTGTCAGATCACTTTATGCTAACAGTAACTTGAAGTAACTAGACTTTTAACAGGCTGTGCCATCAACTTTCAAACTTGTTGTTTTCTCTCCAGATTACCTCCTGATATTGGGTTATGGAAGTAGAAGTTACAAATGTAATATTAGTCATTTACTTCTATGTTTACCTTTAAAAGAGGGGTTGTGGCTCGCTGCTAGGCTGTCTTTTCTTTTCACTTTTCAATCCAACACATCCAGTTTCTGAAAACCACTAATTAGTCATTTTTTACGACATACTGGGGACAGTGGGGCTATTTCCCTCCCTCCCCCCCCCCCCCAATATTTTTTTTTTTAAATAAAGGCTTTGTTAGGTTTGTGACACTGTGACGGTGATAAGCAAATGTCGAACCACAATTATACTGTCAATTGTAGACTCGAACACTGAACACTAGACTTGAACATTAGACTCGGACACTAAACACTAGACTTGAATACTAAACACTAGACAAAAATACAAGACTTGGACACTAAACATAAGACATGAACTCTAGAACACTAAAAACTAGACTTGGACACAGCACTTGACTTGAACACTAAGCACTAGACTCAGACACTAAACAAACACCACACTTGGACACTAAACATAAAGAATGCTGAACGCTGCTGTCATGACAAACTGCCTGACAGACACTGTCTCTCACCAGATCTCTTGCCCGATGTGCTTTCCTATCCAAAGTGTCTCCTACATCCTGTGCCCTTCTTCATAATGGTCAGCCTCTGCCCCTCTTTTCTAGCATCATGCCTTCTGCTGCAATTCTTTCCAGTCCACTGTGGCGCTTGATATGGTCAAAATATTTCATTTTCAAAGACAAGATGTTGTTTTATAGCCAGTCTGCCTTGATGTTTGGATCTTCTTAGGATGTTGGTATGTCCATGGTATTCTAAGAATCTTTCTGTATCATTTCAGCTCAGAAGCTCCTAGTCTTAGATGATAACTTGCTTTATCATTAATATTTCTCCTATTACAAATTATCTTTCAGATTTGCCATTTATGTTTGTTATTTTAAACTCCAAGCTGTCATTTTTGTAGTCTGCTTGTAATGTTAGTCTTTCTCTAATCATACTTATCTTTGAGTTGTGCCTGTTATGTCTGTATTTCTCTAATTGCTGTGATTTTCTAAATCTGCCACAGAGCCATACTTTGCTGTTATTGGCTGTTTCTTTGTATGGTTAATTTAATTAACATGGTAATAAAATTACCTATAATAAAGTGAATGATATAAAATAATAAGGGAAAAAAAATAATACATAGATTGTAATGGAAAGGATGTAAGGAAAGTAAGTGAGCTAGTCATCTCACCTCGTTGCTCTTAAAGTTCAAAAGTTCACCTATAATACTGATGGTTCCTAATGTTCATGACATGATACTAGTACTTGAATATTATTATAATTGATATCACAGTATGCTACCAATACCAAACAGTTAGTAATACCAAGTTGTTTTTGTTTTTTTTTCAACTAAAAAATAACACATGCAAAGGTGTTCTTTGTTAAAAAAAAATACTACATTGTAATGTGTAACGTAGAGGTCTTTTTTCCTGAAAAATACTTTAATGTTAGTGATATTCAGATTTGTTCTTTGTTGGAAAATAATATAGTATTATTATAAGAACACAGAGATATTAATTCTTTCCTGAAAAATACTAGTGATATATAAAGTGTTCTTTTGTGAAAAATAATAAAGCACTAAAAATATACAAAGATGTTCTTTCCTGAAAAATACTTCAATGTTAGTGATATTCAGATGTGTTCTTTGTTGGAAAATAATATAGTATTATAAGAACGCAGAGATATTAATTCTTTCTGAAAAATACTAGTGATATATAGAAGTGTTCTTTTGTGAAAAATAATCCTCAAGCTCTACACCGCCCAACAAAGTGGTAAATACAGTCAGTAGTGACAGTTTGACAGTCAAGTTTATCTCCAAATAACATCTAATATACCAGATTGAACTGAATAAAATTATTAATCTGAGGCATATTATTTATGTGGTCAGTGTCACCCATCACACCAGCTTGTAATCTTTTAATGATCATTTTGTATCTTTAAATTTCTTATCCTAGTTTTTAACTCTTAAAAGATTAAAAGTCAGCAATTTGGTCTGTATTTTTAGGTATTTGAAACAGGTTGTCAGTATTTGAGACAGATTGTCAGTATTTGAGACAATATTGTCAGTATTTGAGACAATATTGTCAGTATTTGAGACAGATTGTCAGTATTTGAGACATATTGTTAGTATTTGAGACAGACTGTCAGTATTTGTAGCCAGTTAAATTATTAATTAATTTTATTTTAAAATTATTAACTATCGATTACTGTTAAATAATTAAATGAATAATGAATTGATAATTAAAAGTATTCTTCATTTTGGGGTATTATCACTGTAATAATCATGAGAAAATTGAAATGCCTGTTGTTGTATTTATTGTCTGTGTAGTACAGTAAGCTAGTACTTTTGTCAGCCACACTCATGCATGCAGTATGCTTGCTGATTGTTTTAACAGCTTGCCTTTTTCCTTAACAAATTGTGATGCCCCGGCTGCATTGTTTTAACAGCTTGCCTTTTTCCTTAACAAATTGTGATGCCCCGGCTGCATTGTTTTAACAGCTTGCCTTTTTCCTTAACAAATTGTGATGCCCCGGCCGACACTTTAAGATACAGAAGAAGGAATAAGTGACAAGAGGACTCACCAGACAACATAAAAATCAAAATTGGTAGATTTTGATGTTCTCCAGTGTGTCCCCCTTGTACTTTTTCCCAGCGATATTTGTGTATTATTGCTTCTTTTCTACTTTCTGCTGTGTTTTTAAAAAAAAAAACCATATTGCAGTTGTTTTAATTTTTTTTTTGTAGATGTGTAAATTTATCATTTTAAATCACTAATAAAGGCAGCTGAAATGCTACTCTTGGTATTTATTATTTAAATAAAACATTTCAAGAACATGTATAACTAGTTTGTATTTTTCAACGGGGGTACTGTATAATTGTTTTATTATTTAAATGAGCAGTTACTTTTTGGTTTATGTCAGTTTGGAAAATTATCTCATTGAAATAAAAATTGCAAACATAAACAACATATTGTTATATTAAAATAAAACTATATTTTTTTTTTGATCATCTCATTTGTGAAAATATTATCTCTTTAAATTTGAAAATGCAGCATAACTAGCAAATGTTCTTTTTTTTTTAAATGAACAAATTTTTTTTAATTGTCTGATATGAAAAATTAAAATCTCTTTAAAAATGAACAATACTTTTTTGGATTGTCTCATTTGTGAAAAGAACTAACATCTCTTCAAAACCTGAAAAGCAAAGACAAATAGGAGGAACATGGTATGCAGTGAGTGTCTATTGGTATTCTTTTGGGGTTTTTCTTGTTGCAGGCTCACAATTTCTGAAAATAAACATGCACATGTCATCATATATGTTCCCAGTCAAGGTCACAGCAATAATGCATCCAGCATGTGATGCTAGTTTTATAGACCAACCGGAACGTCCCGAGTGCTGTGATGTAGATTCCTAATTAAACAGTAAACATCATAATGTGGAACTACGGTAGTGCAGTCATGGGTTTGAGTCTGAATGGAACTAGACTTTGTTTTTTTTTTTTTTTTCTTCAAAACTGACTTTGGCTCCGTGGTTGACACAGCCATAAATGGGTACTGGATGAAGTCTTGGGAAGTAAAGACATCACATCACCCCCCCCCCCCACCCCACATTGCTAATTTGTCTATAAAATGTAGGTCTGTCCCTGTATGTCCAGTATACCTGAAGGATCTTTCACTTACTTCAGTGCACTGACTAGACACTTACTGCTGGCTTCAAAGTCTTTCTTGAGGGGGGAGAGGGGGGGGGGGGGGTGTATCCAATCCACATCAAAGTGCATTTTAAAAAATCAACCTGGACATTGGTGTCAACAGATATCCTGTATAGTAAAGGTGGCCGGTGTTATGATCACGTTATTATTGGAGTACTCAATTGGGCTTAACATTAGAGGTCCAACGCTTTTTGCCAGACATGTCAGTATCACGAAAAGAGTCCTTTTTTTAACAACTTTTTTAATAGCTCACACTGATGATTTGAAATTGTTTGATCACCAGAAATGTGTACAAGGACTACAAGCAACTAGAACTATCAGCTCAGTCTCAGGATGATGTGGATAGTTGGAAGGCATCATTCCTTCGGGCTGGTGTCTACCCGGAGCGCAAAAACGTGGATGGAGAAAATGTAAACTTTGTCAGACTCATTAATTTTTCCTGACTTCTCTGCTGATTTGATTTCTCTTTTCTGTAAATTTTTTTTTTTCTAATTAATTTCTCATTTTTTCTATCTGACTGCATTGCGTTCATCAAATTAATTTCTCCTTTTTATCTGACCACTCTGCATTGATCTGGTTTCTCTTTCCTTTATTTTTTTTTTTTTTTTTGACTGCAGTGATTTGATCTAATTAATTTCGCCTATTTGTTTTTATCTGACTGCTCTGCATTGATCTAATTAATTTCTTCTATTTCTTTTATCTGAAATTGCAAATGTGTATATATTGCAGCCTTTTTCTAAACCACAACACTGTGTGCCAACCGCCTGTTGAAGCTTGAACGCAAAAGAACAGGAGAATGCTGAATTCTTTTCCCCTCCTATTTATCACTCACTGAACTCATCTGAACACTTTTGCATTGATCTTCTCCATTTGGGGGCGGGGGGGGGGGGGGGGGGGGGGAGAGAATAGACCCACTGCCCTTTAACGGGCATATGTTGTGCGAATTAGGGATGTTTCCTTCTAGGTCAGAGCTACAATAATTGGCGTAGAACCAGTGACAGATTTTATACAGAAAATGGCAAATATTTTGTGTTGCTGGACTTTTCTGCAAATGGGTAAATATTGCAGCCTTGCTGTAAATCAAACACAGATTGCCAAGTGCCTGTTTAAGTGTGAACACAAAACAAGAGAACAATTATTTATTTCTCCTCTTGTTTATCTGAACATTTTGCATTTATTGTCTCCATTGGGGGGGAGGGGGTGATATGCCCCAAGCATATCATGCAAGGCAACTAATTAGGGGTCTTTCCTTCAAGGTCGGAGCTACAATAATCAGCATAGAACCAGTAACGTACAGAAAACAACAAATATTTGTTTTTTTCTTAAGAGTACCTTATGATGGATTACCATAAGTAGTAGAGGGACATGAAGCTAAGGTAGACCAAGAGCAGGATGAAAAGATAACATTGAAAAACTCTACACCATTATCGAGTATTTATGGTCAGGGGGCAGGAAGAGCAATAACTAGAAAACTATCTCCTTCAGTATTAGAGGACGAAAGAATTCAAATCCCTAAAGGTACCACCGACAGTATATCTATCTCCTGTGTAGCAGTAATATTTGAACATGACATTGTCTTGTGTTTGATAATTGTGTAGTTTTTCACTTGTTCTAACTTTTGCAGTCCAAAGATGATTATGCCTCCATGGACCCACAGTTGGAAAGACAGGTGGAGACCATCAGAAATCTTGTGGATTCTTACCTGAAAATTGTTCATAAGACCCAGAGGGATCTCGTACCCAAGACCATTATGTATCTCATTATCAGCAATGTAAGGTTTTTGTTGTACATCCACTGACTGTCTCATTGGATGTTGCTTTCATGATATTTGTTATCTGTCAGGTTAACAAGCTTTTTTTTTTTTTTTTTTACCTGAGTGACTTTTTTTTTAGGTTTATGATTAAAAAAAATGAGGAACTGAGAAGAAAAACAATATTATTAGTGAATATTTTTTAAGGAAGAATATGAGATGCCTCAGACAAGTGTGCAGAATGACCTGTGACATTTTTACAAAACAACTCTCCAATGGACGGCAGATTGACAAATATATGGATGACCTCAGGATACTGGGAGGAGGACATTAGAAAGGGAAAGAATGTAAAATGACATGGGACACCAGAGGCAGAAATGCAGCAGATTCGCAGCAAAGGGGTTTGTAAGAAAGATGCAGGTCAGTGGTTCTCAACTGCTGGTGCACAGAACAATTTTCTGGGTGTCCTTGATATCATTTAGAACCACAGAAACCTCGTCTTTTTTTTTTTTTTTTTAAGTGTAATATAACAGTAAAGGACCCTTTTTCAAGCCTTCGGGTATTTTAGGCAAATGTATATTTGATAGACCAGTTGGCACTGGATGGGTGATGTGCCCAACACCAAGCTGGCCACCTTTACTTCCCAAGAATTTACCTGCATCCAGAAGGCTGGGTCAACCTGGTAGCCAAAGTCATTTAAAAAACAAAAGTGTTCTGCTCTGTTCTAATTTGAATCCATTACCTTCAGATGTGCAGGCGAATATCTAGCCGCTACACCATGGTGGTTCCCTGATTTTTATATAGATTAACTTTTTGTTGTTGTTGTAAATATGACTATTAAAATATATGGGGCCTGTGGCAGACCTGAATAAATAATAGGTCTGCGTGTATTTTGTAATTGGGAGCTGCTGATACGGTAAAGGTAGTTCCATAGCTGATACTGCTATTGGGGTGTCAAGTGCTAGATCTTCACTTCCCAAAGCTGATACTACTATTGGGGTGTCAAGTGCTAGATCTTCACTTCCCAAAGCTGATACTGCTATTGGGGTGTCAAGTGCTAGATCTTCACTTCCCAAAGCTGATACTACTATTGGGGTGTCAAGTGCTAGATCTTCACTTCCCAAAGCTGATACTGCTATTGGGTTGTCAAGTGCTAGATCTTCACTTCCCATAGCTGATACTGCTATTGGGGTGTCAAGTGCTAGATCTTCACTTCCCAAAGCTGATACTACTATTGGGGTGTCAAGTGCTAGATCTTCACTTCCCAAAGCTGATACTACTATTGGGGTGTCAAGTGCTAGATCTTCACTTCCCAAAGCTGATACTACTATTGGGGTGTCAAGTGCTAGATCTTCACTTCCCAAAGCTGATACTACTATTGGGGTGTCAAGTGCTAGATCTTCACTTCCCATAGCTGATACTACTATTGGGGTGTCAAGTGCTAGATCTTCACTTCCCAAAGCTGATACTGCTATTGGGGTGTCAAGTGCTAGATCTTCACTTCCCAAAGCTGATACTACTATTGGGGTGTCAAGTGCTAGATCTTCACTTCCCCATGTGGGTTCCCACATAAAAATCGACTGCATACAAACAAGTCAGATCTCTAAATAAGATGTACCTGGAAAACTCAGGTTCTGGAACAAGACTAAAGTCCAGTAGTGGACAGACTACCAGGTCTTTCTGCCTCAGCTTACAGCCAGTGAGTGAGAAGAAGATGATGACCAAGAAGTGGGAGAAGATATTCACACATTCTAGACCACAACATATGACAAGTTGAGGCTGATTCAGCCTCAGTTCTGTACTGGCCATGAAATACAATCCTGACAGCTAGCCCTCCCTCTTACAGCATAAAACAGTCCTGATAAGCACACACAGTAACATCACATAAAAAGCATGTTCATCTCCACCCTATGCTACCAGTACTAGACATGGTCACTCATAACCAACCAGACAAGAACATTTGTAATCATGAAAATGAGAGATGTCTGTGAAGGGCTCCAGAAGAGATCAAGTAGCTCAACGCCTAGAGGCATGGCAGTAGCTGGCCTATCAACCTGTTCATTATCCACACACGCAAATGTCAGGGACAGAAAATTCATGATGTTCTCCTGATAGAGATCCAGGGTAAATCTCTTTTATAATAGTTACAAAACTAAAAGCTGGGTACCCTTTTTCTGGCCATTGCCACTTTCAGCTTTTGATGCTACACTCATGTTTTTATTGACCATTGGAAACTTAACTTCACGAGTGATGTGGCCAAAATCAAACTGGCCGCCTTTACTACCCACTACATACCCTATTACATATTTTTATTGACCATTGGATACTCACTGCATGGATGATGTAGTCAAGCAGACGTAACACTAGAGAGAAGCGGACGTAACACTAGAGAGAAGCGGGCATAACACTAGAGAGAAGCGGACATAACACTAGAGAGAAGCAGATGTAACACCAGAGAGAAGCAGCCCTAACACTAGAGAGAAGCAGCCGTAACACTAGAGAGAAGCAGACGTGGCACTAGAGAGAAGCAGACGTGGCACTAGAAAGAAGCAGACGTAACACTAGACAGAAGCAGACCTAACACTAGAGAGAAGCAGACCTAACACTAGACAGAAGCAGACCTAACACTAGACAGAAGCAGACCTAACACTAGACAGAAGCAGACCTAACACTAGACAGAAGCAGACCTAACACTAGACAGAAGCAGACCTAACACTAGACAGAAGCAGACCTAACACTAGAGAGAAGCAGACCTAACACTAGAGAGAAGCAGACCTAACACTAGACAGAAGCAGACCTAACACTAGACAGAAGCAGACCTAACACTAGACAGAAGCAGACCTAACACTAGACAGAAGCAGACCTAACACTAGACAGAAGCAGACCTAACACTAGACAGAAGCAGACCTAACACTAGACAGAAGCAGACCTAACACTAGACAGAAGCAGACGTAACACTAGACAGAAGCAGACCTAACACTAGACAGAAGCAGACCTAACACTAGACAGAAGCAGACCTAACACTAGACAGAAGCAGACCTAACACTAGACAGAAGCAGACCTAACACTAGACAGAAGCAGACCTAACACTAGACAGAAGCAGACCTAACTCTAGAGAGAAGCAGACCTAACACTAGAGAGAAGCAGACCTAACGCTAGAGAGAAGCAGACCTCACGCTAAAGAGAAGCAGACCTAACGCTAGAGAGAAGCAGACCTAACGCTAGACAGAAGCAGACCTAACGCTAGACAGAAGCAGACCTAACGCTAGACAGAAGCAGACCTAACGCTAGACAGAAGCAGACCTAACACTAGACAGAAGCAGACCTAACACTAGAGAGAAGCAGACCTAACACTAGAGAGAAGCAGACCTAACACTAGAGAGAAGCAGACCTAACACTAGAGAGAAGCAGACCTAACACTAGAGAGAAGCAGACCTAACACTAGAGAGAAGCAGACCTAACACTAGAGAGAAGCAGAGAGAGAAGCAGACCTAACACTAGAGAGAAGCAGACCTAACACTAGAGAGAAGCAGACCTAACACTAGAGAGAAGCAGACCTAACACTAGAGAGAAGCAGACCTAACACTAGAGAGAAGCAGACCTAACACTAGAGAGAAGCAGACCCTAACACTAGAGAGAAGCAGACCTAACACTAGAGAGAAGCAGACCTAACACTAGACAGAAGCAGACCTAACACTAGACCAGACCTAACACTAGACAGAAGCAGACCTAGACAGACCTAACACTAGAGAGAAGCAGACCTAACACTAGACAGAAGCAGACCTACCTAACACTAGAGAGAAGCAGACCTAACACTAGACAGAAGCAGACCTAACACTAGACAGAAGCAGACCTAACACTAGAGAGAAGCAGACCTAACACTAGAGAGAAGCAGACCTAACACTAGAGAGAAGCAGACCTAACACTAGAGAGAAACACTAGCAGCAGACCTAACACTAGAGAGAAGCAGACCTAACACTAGAGAGAAGCAGACCTAACACTAGAGAGAAGCAGACCTAACACTAGAGAGAAGCAGACCTAACACTAGAGAGAAGCAGACCTAACACTAGAGAGAAGCAACCTAACAGACCTAACACTAGAGAGAAGCAGACCTAACACTAGAGAGAGAGAAGCAGACCTAACACTAGAGAGAAGCAGACCTAACACTAGAGAGAAGCAGACCTAACACTAGAGAGAAGCAGACCTAACACTAGAGAGAAGCAGACCTAACACTAGAGAGAAGCAGACCTAACACTAGAGAGAAGCAGACCTAACACTAGAGAGAAGCAGACCTAACACTAGAGAGAAGCAGACCTAACACTAGAGAGAAGCAGACCACTAGACAGACCTAACACTAGAGAGAAGCAGACCTAACACTAGAGAGAAGCAGACCTAACACTAGAGAGAAGCAGACCTAACACTAGAGAAGAAGAGAGAAGCAGACCTAACACTAGAGAGAAGCAGAGACCTAACACTAGAGAGAAGCAGACCTAACACTAGAGAGAAGCAGACCTAACACTAGAGAGAAGCAGACCTAACACTAGACTAGAGAGAAGCAGACCTAACACTAGACACTAGAGAGAAGCAGACCTAACACTAGAGAGAAGCAGACCTAACACTAGAGAGAGAACCTAACACTAGAGAGAGACCTAACACTAGAGAGAAGCAGACCTAACACTAGAGAGAAGCAGACCTAACACTAGAGAGAAGCAGACCTAACACTAGAGAGAAGCAGACCTAACACTAGACAGAAGCAGACCTAACACTAGAGAGAAGCAGACCTAACACTAGAGAGAAGCAGACCTAACACTAGAGAGAAGCAGACCTAACACTAGAGAGAAGCAGACCTAACACTAGAGAGAAGCAGACCTAACACTAGAGAGAAGCAGACCTAACACTAGAGAGAAGCAGACCTAACACTAGAGAGAAGCAGACCTAAGAGAGAGAACACAGAGAGAACAGACTAACACTAGAGAGAAGCAGACCTAACACTAGAGAGAAGCAGACCTAACACTAGAGAG